GTGGCAGCTGTCATAATGATGCCAAGAAGCCCAGGCACCAGGCTCTTCCTTGGCCCAGAATTCCTAGAGAGCATCAGGTTGGCTTGGAATCCCCCAGGGAACTGACTGACCTTTCAGTTCTTTGGTGGTGGTTGGGAGTAGAGGGACAAGGTACAGTAGGTCTCCACTAGGGGAGAGTGAACTGTGAGTTTTCACCGCCCTGCAGAGAAAGGGTAAGCTGCTGTGGGCTTGGTATTTTTGTTCAATTTAGTGTCTCAGTCTGGGAAGCTCTTTGCTCACTGGGATAGAGTTAAGCCACCCTAAGTGTTGGGAGCCAGGTGAGTTTGCTTGGCTGGATTCTCAGCTGAATCAGTCCTGGGAGCTACTATTTTTAAACTTGTGGAACGCTGTGGGAATGTGCTCCTTGGCTCCCAGCAAGGGATCTTAGGAAACATCAACTTGAGTGAGGCAAATGCATTCCCTGAATCTGGTTGGATGGCGTGTAGTGGAAAGAGCATCTCCTACTCAGAGTTAAAACTCAATGGTGCCCTAGCCAGTTTGGCTCAGTGGATAGAGCGTCGGCCTGCAGACTGAAGGGTCCCGGGTTCCATTCTGGTCAAGGGCACGTACCTTGGTTGCAAGTTCCCCGGCCCTGGTCGGGGTGCATGCAGGAGGCGCAACCAATTGATGTGTCTCTCTCACATCGGTGTTTCTCTCTGTCTCTCCCTCTTCCTTCCACTCTCTCTAAAAATCCTTGGGTGAGGATTAACAACAACAACAACAAAACACCAAAGAACCTCAAATGTTACTGCCCTGCACTGTAGCCTCATCAGACTTCCAGCTCAGTGTGAGGGTGCAGTCTTAGCTGTTGGGGTTTTTCTTACTCTTTCTTCCTTTCTTCTTCTTTCTTCCTTTCTTCTTTCTTTCTTGTTTTTAAATTTCCTTTAAAATATTTCAATTATGGTTGACATTCAATATTATATTAGCTTCAGGTGTATAGCATAGTGGTAAGACATTTATATAACTTATGAAGTGATCCCCCTGATAGGTCTAGTACCCACCTGACACTATACATAGTTATTACAATAATATCGACTATATTTCCTATGCTGTACCTAACCCTGTGACTATTTTTTAACTTCCAATTTGTACTTTTTAATCCCTTCACCTTTTCCCCCAGACCCTCAACCCCCTTACCACCTTGTTTTTTATTTTTTAAAAATTGATTTTAGAGAAAGGAAGAGAGAGAGAGGAAGAGAGAAACATCAATCGGCTGCCTCCCAAATGTGCCCTGACCAAGGATTGAACCTGCAACCTGGGTATGTGCCTTGACCAGGAATCAAATAGCTACGTTTCAGGGGACGACACTCCAACCAATTGAGCATACCGGCCAGGGCATGTTCTTTCTTTTTTTAAGATTATATAAAATTAATATACTATAGCTGGAATCTTAAAAAATCTTAGCTATGTCAGAATATTACTATATAAACATATTTCAAAAGAATTTTACAATATTTTACACATAGTATATAGTACTTTTGTAGTTACCAAACACCATTTCAAAATAGCTAATGAAGTGTCAATAATTGTGAACTGTTAAAAATAAAAACATCATCTTTGCAAATGTTTATTTAATAATTGTTTACTGAATTCTGTTGTAATAATGGCTGTCACTCAAAGTATGGTAGCAGTCAGGAAGAATCCGAGGCCTAATTTGAGGGCTCTGGGAGGAATCCAAGGTCAGGAAAATCTCTTCTATTCATCTTCTGCCTGACGTTAGTGGTCATTTTGGCCTCTGGAGGCCGAGTGATACCTTCTTAGTCAGATGCTTTGAGACAGACCTTTGGGAAGGTTCCAGGGATTGGGAAACTATATCTAGAATTCAAGGCACATGTTCTTCCTGTCAGCAGGTTTGATGTTACTCTAAAGGCTGGCACAGCTATGCCCAGGCTCACCAAATTGCTAGGACAAAGCCAGCCTGTCCCCTGGGCACCTCAGTGAGCAGGATCAGAAGTTCTTTAGCTGGAAACAATTTTGAGGGGCCATCTTCTGCAACAAGACAGTTAGAACCCCTCACCCACTCCCTACCAGACTGGGGAGAACCTGTAATGTATTTTTTTTTTTTTAAATATGGAACGCTTCACGAATTTGCGTGTCATCCTTGCGCAGGGGCCATGCTAATCTTCTCTATATCGTTCCAATTTTAGTATATGTGCTGCCGAAGCGAGCACTGTAATGTATTTTTTTAAAAATTCCTGTTGTAAGAAATTCCAATGGCTTCCTTTTCCACCAACTAGTTTTTTAGCAAAAATTTTTTGCTCTAGCCCTAGCTGGTTTGGCTCAATGGATAGAGCGTCGGCCTGCGGATTAAAGGGTCCCGGGTTCGATTCTAGCCAAGGGCACATGCCTGGGTTGCAGGCTTGATCCCCAGTAGGGGGCATGCAGGAGGCAGCCAATCGGTGATTCTCTCTTACCATTGATGTTTCTATCTCTTTCTCCCTCTCCTTTCCTCTCTAAAATCAATAAAATATATTAAAAAAAATTTTTTTTTTGCTCTAACCCAGATCCCACCTTCTGCCACACATGCCAATTTCCTCTCATCTTTCCTTTCTCAGAGGATGTGAGGGACAGCTGCTCCTAGAAAAGGGGCTTCATCCTCTGGTCAAACAAAACAGCTTTGGCTGGAGAAGTTCTCATGTTGAGGAAGCCAGACCAAGCCAGGCCTCTGCAGGGGACTTTAAAGACTGAATGACCCTGTCCCTTGGCTATCGCCTGAGCAGTCTGCTTCGAAAGAGACCTGACAGGCTCCAGGTTGTGTGTTTATCCTGAGGCAGGCCCATTCCAAACTCATGTTTCAGAGTTTAGAGGTTGTGTCCAGCCAGCCTGGTGGGTGGTAATCAAACACAGGTGGAGACCATCTGGCTGGGCCTGCCCCTCCCAGTCAGTCCCATGAAAGCTGGCCTGCCCACCATAGGACTGGCCTAGAAAGCACCCTGTGTGGAGGCAGATGGTGTGCATGTGCATGTGTGCGCATGTGTGCGCAGCCCTCCTCAGGAAAGTCGTGCTGCTTGGATGCATTATTTTTCTCTCTCTGCGTCCAAGGGTTCCCCCTATTGCACATCCCGAGGAACGTGTTTCTTTTAGTCTGTTTCTCAAGTTTTTGTGGTTAGAAATCATGTATTTTTCTTGGCCCAGGATGAAAGCCCTGGAGTAATCGTCTAATACATTTTACAAAGCTGCCTCTAATTGGTGGCTGCTTGAAATCTTCCTTTTGACCTAGTAACCCAGCTCCTTTTGTAGAGTTTTAGCTCCCAGTCAGTCTTGCATTACCCCAGCTCTTCACACTCCTATCATACCTGCAGCCCTGGGGAAGCGGCTCTTCTAGCCTCAATTTGCTTAGCTGTTTCCTCAGCCTTCCTGCATGGCATTGCCCCCAAACAGGGCAGTTCAGCAAGGAAAGAAATAGTTTACACTGCATCCTGCCAAGCATCTTCTAGCATGGTCTCCAAAATTCTAGGCGTGTACCCTCAAAATGGATTTTGTTTCCCACATTGTTAGATGCTCAGAGCAAATGCAAACCATGGACACCTCCTTTGAATAGAATTGGGTATGACCATGGTGACTTTAAGGATGGATTCCTTTTCAGTCCTTTAGAGAACTTAGCTATGAGAGGTAATCTCCCCACCACAGCACGTGCAGGAAGCCTGAGTTCACCCAGGCACACAGCAGGGTAGGACTGGTGTCAGAGCTCCTGAGACTTTGAATATCCTTCTGTCTAGTCTCTGGGCCTGGTCTCTTGGGGTTGGTGATAATGATGATGATGGAAAGATGCCACGTGAAATTCCAGGGTTGGGCATTGACTATCACTATCCCTTCAGAATTCTCCCCTCTGTTTGAAGCCTGTTCCAGTAGCTTGGCTGGCAAGGAGGTGTGGGCTGTCATCTTAGTTTATGGTTTGTATTTGTATGCTGAGGAGCTTACATGTGTATAATCATTGTAGCTCATGTTTGTACAAGATCTAATTACTGAAAATTATATCATGAACACATTTTAACATTTAACACTTCCCATGCTGGCAGACCTCCTGAGCTCTCAGGAACTCTCCCTGATGCTCCCCTCACCTAGGGAGGTCCCCCCCCCCGCCCCGCACCCCCCAACCAGGCCTTGCTCTCTAATCCATAGAATTGCCCTTTCGAGCAGAAGTCCATTCCAGGGACTTCCCTGGAGACTTGGGGCTCCTGAGCATTTCCCAGCAGACAGGGAGGCAGGCGTTCCTTGCCTCATCATCACAGTGATGGCTGTGGCTACAGAGGCAGTAACTCTGATCATTCTGGGCCGCCTGGGATGGGAAGAGAAGGCAAACCTTGCTTCCTCGAGGTTCCAGTGATTGAAGAGTGCACGTGGGGTGCCAGACTTCAGGAATCCTATGTGCTGATTAATGAATGCACATGGGGTTTTCAGGAAAAAATGCAGGCCCCCCCAGTGTTTGGAATCTGTCCTGGGACCTATCTGCAAATGCTGAGTTTGGAGGCCAGCCAGCCTGGGCCAAGGCTTGCACTCTTGTGGGCCAAGGTGGAGGTGGGAGCAGAGAAAGAGTCTCATCCTCACAAGCACACAGCAGGACTGGTACCTTAGCAGACTTAGTAGGTGCTTATTAACAACCTGAAGGAATATGGAGCGTGAATAAGGAAGATTAGGCCCTCAATCACACAGAAAGGAATGTTCCAGAGCCACAAAATGTGGAACTCATAATTTAGGGTGCCAGGAGGGGAATTTGATTGGCTGGGCCAAGGTCATACACAAGTGCTGTAGCTGGCTGGAGGGTGAGGCTAGAGTTCTGGTTCCTTATTGAGGTCCTTTCTGCCCTGAAGGCTCACACATGGGAGATTCCTCTGACTAAGGGGTTTGGATGCTGAGGCCACCAAGAATAAGGGAGAACTTTTATTAGACTTTCAAAACAGTATTGTTGTTTTTTTCCTAAGGTAGTTGAACTAAAAACATTTGCTTTTTATTTCTTTCAGATTTACAGGAACAGATGGGCCTAGTGGTTTTGGCTTTGAGTTGACATTTCGTCTGAAGAGAGAAACAGGGGAGTCTGCTCCCCCAACATGGCCAGCAGAGCTCATGCAGGGCTTGGCCAGATACGTGTTCCAATCAGGTAAGAGCCCCAAAAGCTGGTTGGTGGGTGGTTTTACTGTCATGGGTTTGGTTGTCGTTGGGAACTCACAGGTATGCTTTGAGTCTGCAGAGTGACCTTTCCTGGGAGTACTACACCCCATTTGTGCCATGAGGGTGAAAGCTACCTGGGACATGGAGGAGAAGGATATGCCACTATGACCTCTGGCAGCAAGTGAGAGTCTGTGCTGCTGTTCTGACACCCTGAGTCCTTGTTACAGTCTGCCAGCCATGCTTCTGATTCCCATTGAGCCAAAGGCCAACTTGGCATGGAACGGATTCGCTCTTCTCTGTCTGCCCCATTTTCCATAGTTAGCATGGTCCTTGCTCCCTGCTGCCAGCGGCCTAAACCATCTCAGTTTCTGGGGCTGTAAGCACACATGTTAATCTTGAGTAAGGATTGGGTGAACAGGAAGAGAGAGAGAGAAAATTGCCAAGAGCTTGCTCTCACAGTGGAAGGGGAAGCTGGAATCAGGCAGGACTCGATCGTCAGAAAGATTGTTTGATTCAGGTGTTCTCCAGGGGCTGACCCTGTGCTCCTGTTGCCCTCTGAAGACCGCTAATATGAAACCTGGGGTGCGGCTTTGTGTGGGAACCTTGGTCTCCCACTCTTGTCTCAGCCTGCCTATGGTCCTCCAGTGGGATGAAATGTTGGGGTGAAATCTAGTATCTTTTATGGCAGGTTATATATCATCTGAATGTTTATGTGTGGCTATTTGCTCAGAAACATTTCCCATATGACCTCAGATTTTGCTTCTTTGGTTTGGTAAGTAACCTCAAATGTATACTAAGACACTTTATCCAACTCTTTTACTCTTTGACTGCTTATAGATAAGGGTAGAGCAGCATTGAGGCCAGGGCCCCTCAAAGTGTGGTCCTCAGACCCCCTGCATCAAAGGCACCTAGAGAATTCGTTGCAAACACACATTCCTGAGCCCCACAGCAGACTCTGGCTTCTGGTAGAGACAATTTGGAAAACTATAGATCTGGTAACTTCTCTTAAGTACAGTGACTTCTCCCTCCCCCCCCCCCCCACCTCTAGTGGACTATAAATTGGGGGTGCAGTAGAGCTTCTGGGTTGAACTCCTCTACTCTCATTCCAGAGCCCTGGGAGTCAGGTATTAGCAGGGTAGCTGTCACATAATGGGACTGATACTAACTGCCATCTACCATTGTGTGCTCTATGGGATAGTCCCATTTTAGAGGCTACTGTAAGCAAGGGTCCCAAACCTGACTGCTCATGAGATCCCCTGGGAGCTTGTCAACATACTTATTCTCAAAGTCCTCTGCAGGACTCTGATTCAGTTGGTCAGAGGTGGGACTGGGGCATCTGTTTCTTAAACAACTTCCTAGGGCCGTGGTCGGCAAACTGCGGCTCACGAGTCACATGCGGCTCTTTGGCCCCTTGAGTGTGGCTCTTCCACAAAATACCACGAAATACCACGTGCAGGCGCGCACGTACAGTGTGATTGAAACTTCGTGGCCCATGCGCAGAAGTCGGTATTTTGTGGAAGAGCCACACTCAAGGGGCCAAAGAGCCGCATGTGGCTCGCGAGCCGCGGTTGGCCAACCACTGTCCTAGGGGATTCTAATGCAGCTTGTTTGGGCTCTAAAGAACTATTGACCAAGAAGTACCATTCACAGGGTCAGGGGAAGCAGGCTGCCTGGAACAGCTAGTGCATGTGGTTTGGTACTATCCTAGTATGATTTGAAGAATCTTTTAAAATTGTGCCAAGAGTTTACTGCCTGAACACTTTGTGTCTCCTCTCTCCCTTCTTGGGATGCCTAAGCTGACTTCATATAGAACTGTCTGTGTAGAAATAGACTTTTCTTGATGTGGAATTCAATCTGCTGTAGGAAAGAGGGCTCTGAAGACTAGGCAACCTCTTGCTTATGTAGACAGGTATCTCCTTTCCCACTGCTTAAGCCAATGCATTTATATGTTTGCTTCTACTTTATGTACTTGCTCAGGTGGATAGAGATCAGAGAAACGTAAGACAGGTAGTTGTTGTGAATCGCTGTCAGGAGGATTCCAGCAGATGAACTTCTGAAATAATTATGATATTATAGTTATGAAATAATAATGTAGGTGAGTGAAAAAATAGGATTTGATTTGCAAATGTTCATTTCACCAACACTATAAACATCACTAGTGACCATTTTGCAATACTAATGTGATCATCAATTCAGGCAAATTATCAACAGATGTTATAAAAAGATTGGATAAAAAGATGGTTGGGGAATAGGATATTTACAAGGACTCAAAGGATTCTTCCACAGATTACTTATTTATTACAAAGAGAAAAAGAATTTCTTTATAATGAAAAGATTTGGGTGGCTATCACTTTAAGGAAATGATCAAATGTAGCAACACCAATAATGGAACAAATTATTATTAGGTACCTCCTTATGTATTGCAGTGTGAAGTATAAAGTATCAACTATGTAGCACTTTTCAAAAAATGTTTCATCTGAATTGAATCCTGAGCAAATAGGCAATTCCAGATTGTGGGACATTTTATAAGACAACTGCCTTGACTCTTTAAAAAATGTCAGTACTATGAAAGATATAAAAAGACAAGGGGTGGGGACTATCCTAAATTAAAGGAAACATGACAGTTTAAATGTACTTATGATCCTTGATTGGATCCTAAATTGAAAAAATAAGATCATTTGTAGGGCACTTGGAAAAATAGAAATGTAGACTGTGTATTAGATAATTGTATTGTGCAACTGTGAAATTCCTTGGGTATGATACATACGGTATTATGGTTAATGTCCTTGTTCTTAGGTGATAAAAGCTGAAGTATTTATGAATGCAATGACATGATGTCTGCAACTTAATTTTAAAAAAACTTGTGTAGGCTCCTCTGAGTTCTTCTTCTTCTTTTTTTAAATCTATATTTAGGGAGAGAGAAAAAACATTGATTTGTTGTTCCACTTATTTATGCATTCATATGGGAGTTAGGCACTGTGTTATACCAGCTTTATAGAGAGGTGAAGAAGCATGTTCAAGATCAGAAATCTAGTAGGTGCAAAGGCAAAATTTGAGTCTAAGCAGTGTAACACTTAATGCCATTCTTATAACCATGATGCCATGTTGCCTGTAGCTCAGCTGATGTCTGGGCTGCTGGATGTCTTGGGCTAGAAGGTAAGATTTGCCAATCATCCATATGGGTGATTGCATGACCTCTGAGCTCCATGATACCTTGCTTGGATATTCTTGATCATTTGGAAAATCGAGGAGGGCAAAACACACTAATAATGTTATCAAAATCCTCTTAAATTTATCCTTCCATTTTTTAACTTTTTATTCATGAAAATATGTATGTACTAGTAAAAAGTACAGCTTGATGAGTTTTCACAAACCAAACACACTCATAACCAGCTCCCAAATCAAGAAACAGGCTAGTTCTCCAGAAACCTCCCTTGTGCCTCCTTTCAATCATCAGTCCTTCTTTTTTTTCCTATTTTACTGCCTAGTCAAGTCCTCAGCACCTTGTGCCCCAACTTTTTTGGCAATAGGCTAAGTAGCACCCATTTCCACACCTCTCCCTGTTCTGTTTGCCATCTTGCACGTGACTGCCAGATCAAGGGAGCAGCATGGTATGATGGTTAAGAGCGTGGCCCTGGATCTAGACTGCCTGCATGTGATCTCAGGTCTTCCAGCTACTGCCGCCTGACCTTGGGCAGTGTAACCCATTTACTCATCTGTAACGCAGGGTAATCATAGTAGCTACACATGAAGTTATTGAGAGGATGAAATGAGTTTAATACCTGTCAAAATTTAGAATAGTTATGTAGTAAGAACTATATAATATCACCTGCAATTATTATTACTCAGTCTTTTAAAACTTTATATGGATCAATAAAGTGGATACTTTGGTCTTTTTTTTTTTTTTTTTTTTTTTTTTACATTGACAATAAATACTCCACTTAACAGTAAAACCCTGTTAGGAAGGAAATGCCTTGCTTGTCCCTGGATCAATTGCCTGCCTCAACTGATATGATAACATTTGGTGCTATCATATTTATTATCCCACACAGAAAATCAGTAATAGTGCCCTGGCCGGTGTGGTTCAGCGGTTGGAGCATTTGGCTCATGCACTGAGGGGTTGCAGGTTCGATTCCTGGTCAAGGGCACATCCCTGGGTTGTAGGTTCAATCCCCGGTCCTGGTCAGGGTGCTTGCGGGAAGCAACCAATTGGTGTATCTCTTTCACATTGATGTTTCTCTTCCTCCTTTCCTTCCACTCTCTAGAAATCAATGGGAAAAAAAATCCTCGGGTGAGGATTATCAACAACAAAAAAGAAATAAAGAAAAGAAAAAGAAAGTCATTAATAGTGATACAAATAAAATTAACTGGTTTTGTTCATCACATTATACAACAACAACAAAAGTTCAGTTCAACTGTGGCTCCTTGATTATGTAGTTGACAGTACCTGTACAGCCTTCTACAAATCAAATCCTATTCTAAATGCAGCGGAGCCCAGGCAGTTTCGTGGGACCTTGTAGTACATCCTTTTATAAGGTAAAGAATCTTTTTATAGTGTGAATATCTGCCCGTTATTGTAACTGTTTTGTAGGACTGGGCTTAGGTGTTTCAGGTTTTCTCAGAGCAGGGCACCCCTGCTGCTCAGAGAACCTCCCTTGAGATGTGTAGGCATTGCTCTGCCCCCTGATTGGTTACACAGCAAAGTTTACACGGACGTTATTATACAGAACATGTATTTTATGTTTGATGTGTACATAGATATACTTACATATGTAACTAGCAGCGGAATTCTGTTTGATGGTCTTGCCTCACTTGTGCTGTCCACCTTCAACTCAGTGACTTTATGTGGCGCACCCCACCCATTTGCATGTGAGAACATGCGGAGCAGTGTTATCACGTAAGTGGAATGCTTAGACCTGCTTTTCCAGATCTAAAAGGCATCCACAGCTTTACCAGCCAGGCTTGGAAATAGCATCAGGGAAGTGGTAG